TCCTCCTCCTCCTCCTCCTTCTCCTCCTCCTCCTCCTACTCCTCCTCCTCCTCCTCCTCCTCCTCCTCCTCCTCCGCCTCCGCTTGCGTCTCCGCCTCATCCTCCTTCCTTTCTCCTCCTCCCTCGCCTCCCTGGCTGGCCCCTGGGCTTCTCGCCGAGGGTCGCGCCCACGTGCTGACGCCCGGCTGCGCGCAACAGCCATCGCCAGCCTGCAGACGGATGTACAGACGCTCTGCAGAGGGGAGGGGGGGTGACGCTCAGGCCGCCAGGAAAGAGCCCAGATCTCCGACGATACATACGGTGTTCTCGATCCAGGCGTTTTTCCTCGAGGTCGGCGTCTGGGCCCGCGTGCTGGGCCGCGGGGCAATCGCGGCAGGGTCCGGGGCGAAATATCAACCTCTGGGGAAGGCGACAGCCCCGTTTTGAAAGGGAGAAGGGAGGAGGAGAAGGAGGAGGAGGAGGAGAAAGATAAAGAGAAAGGGAAAGAGAAACAGAAAGAGAAAGCGAAAGAGAAAGAGAAAGAGAAAGGGAAAGGGAAAGGGAAAGAGAAAGAGAAAGAGAAAGAGAAGGAGGAGGAGGAGGAGGAGGAGGAAGAGGAGGAGGAGGAGGAGGAGGAGCGGAGGAGCAGGATGAAGAGCAGGAGGAAGAGGAGGAGAAGGAGGAGGAGGAGGAGGGGGAGGGGGAGGAGGAGGAGGAGGAGGAGGAGGAGGGAGTCCGTAGCCTGGCTCAAGCCATCTCCTTGCGTCCGCCCGCTTTCCTGCTCGTGGACCCGCTTGGCATGGCACGGGCGGAGTCGCCCCCCTGTGGCGATTCCGGAGTTGTTCATCCTGCACGGCGCCCCCGTGCGGTTCGTTCAGCAGCTCGTCGGACAGCGCTTGCAGCTGCTGACGCAGGGCTTGCAGCTGCGCGCACAGCCGTTCGTCACCTCGAGATGCAGCTCCAGCACAAGACGGCGGAGTTCGACCAGTTGGTGCGTGTTATCGGCGGAGCTGACGCCGACCCTCATGGACCTGAACTACTTCTCCGATGGCTGGGCATTGAGCCCATTCTTCGGGCGCAGCTCAAGGCTCGCGATGGTTTTCGGCGTGGCCAGATCTCTTTCCTGGACATCTTGCGTCGCAACCTCAATGAGCACTCGGCCGCCGAGCCGAGCCCCATGGCGCGCGGCAAGGACCTCAGGCGCCTCCGAAAGGCTCCGAGACCTGCGCCTCCTCGGGAACTGGTTGTGCTGCCGCAGCCCCAGATGCTGCGTGCCGAGGCGCGGCCCTGGGCCCATGGCTGGATCGCGCCAGGGAGCTGGTTCCCTGAGCCGCCAGCCGCGCCATCGGAGACCGAGCTGCAGTACACGCTCGGCGTGGACCTGATCAGCGGCAAGGTGGCCGGCTCGAGAGATGGCCACGCTGACGGGGTTTCTGCACCACTCCTCCGCGATCTTCATGATGAAGGCGGTCGTCAGCTTCCTGTTCATCGTGTTCTTAGTCCTGTTGAGAGCGCTCGCGATCCTCCTGTACATCAAGGGGGGGACGGCGACGCTCTTGAAGGACTGCATGGTCCTCCCAGACCTGCGAGTCTTCCTGCTGAAGGTTGTCGTCAGACTCCTGCTCGTCAAGCGGTGGACCGTGATGCTGCCAACGGGTTTCCTGGACTTCCCCTTCGTGCTGACACTCCTGACGAATTTGGTCGTGAGCCCCCTGAGCATCATTGTGCTTGTGGCCATCCTGAGGGGCCTTTTGCCAATGCTCCCGATGGCCATGACCACAACCAGCTATTGAAGAAGTATTGGAACCACCCCAAGGGAGGGAGGCCTTCGACAAGGTCCACGGCGCTAGGGCATGGAAGCGAGAAGTACAATTTGGCCGAACCGCAATTCAGACTCACCAGGGCGGTGCTGTCACCAGCGCGACATGGTGGAAGGCCCGAGCCGAAGTGGCCAAAGCGTGGTTAGATCCTCCAGACCACGTTTTCTGATGAGTTGCCAGGCAGTTCCTTCTTCTCGCTCATATGTCTGGCAGCAGAGGTTTTTTCAAGAGGGAGCGGCTTCGGTGGTCTCCCCGCGTTTGCCGCGGGCACGGCCTGGCGGATAGCACGAGCTGTGCTGTCCCAGGTGACGCCGCAACCCTCTGCTCCCAGGGAGTGGTTTCGGTGGACTCCCCTCGGCTTGAAGGGGGCACAGCCTGGCGGGTAGTGCAATGCACTGCCCCAGGTGATGCCGCATACCTGCTATGGAGCTTCGTCCTCGGTATTGTCCGAGGCCTTATTTTCCCAGCTGATCAGCCGCTCATGGAGTGCCTGGCTGAAGCGAGAGCCATTGGAAAAGAGGGGGAGGGGGGGAGGAGGAGGAGGAGGAGGAGGAGGAGGAGGAGGAGCAGGAGGAGCAGGAGGAGCAGGAGCAGGGCAGGGAGAGCAGGAGGAAGGGGAGGAGGAGGAGAAGGAGGAGAGGAGGAGGCGGGGAAGGGGGAAGAGGAGGAGGAGGAGGAGGAGGGGGAGGATGGAGGCGGCGGAGGAGGAGGAGGAGGAGGGAGGAGGGGAGGAGGGAGGAGGGAGGAGGGATGGAGGGGAGGAGGGAGGAGGGGAGGAGGAGGAGGGAGAGGAGGAGGAGGAGGAGGAGGAGGAGGAGGCGGAGGGGAGGAGGAGGAGAGGAGGGGAGGAGGAGGGAGGAGGAGGAATAGGAGGAGGAGGGAGGAAGGGAGGAGGAGGAGGGGGGAGGGAGGAGGAGGAGCGGAGGGGGAGGGAGGGGGGGGGGGAGGGGGGAGGAGGGAGGGGGCGGCAGGAGGCAGGGGCAGGAGGGAGGAGGGAGGATGGGGAGGGAGGGAGGGTGGGGGAAGGGGGAGGGAGAGGGAGGAGGGAGGAGGGAGGAGGAGGAGGGATGGGAGGGAGGGGGGGGGAGGAGGGACAGGAGGAGGAGGAGGAGGAGGAGGAGGAGGGGAGGAGGAGGAGGAGGGAGGAGGAGGAGGGAGGAGGGTGGAGGAGGAGGAGGGGAGGAGGGGGAGGAGGGAGGGGGGAGGAGGGAGGAGGGAGGAGGGAGGAGGGAGGAGGGAGGTGGGAGGAAGGAGGAGGCAGGAGGCAGGAGGGAGGAGGGAGGTGGGAGGAGGGAGGAGGAGGAGGAAGCGGAGGAGGTGGAGGAGGAGGAGGAGGAGGAGCCACAGAGCGCCCCCGGGGTCGGGACCTCTAGGGCCGCACGTTGGAAAAAGCTCGTCGGCAGATGCCCGGGAAAGGCGTCCTGGAGCAGAGGGTTCCTGAGGTGTTTGCCCCGTCTGCGGGCCGTCCTGGGCCCCTGCTCCGGGCCGCGGACAGCGCGGTTCAGCATGGATCATGTGTTGCTGGAAGCGTGCTGGCACACATTGTTTTTCGATGCCCCCGTCTGGCTTCTGCGCTGGTGCAGCCGACTCTGCCTCGCCGCCGACGGAATAAGCGTGTTACTAGAAGTGCCCCTGGGCCAAGGTGCCCTCAGGATTTCCAAAGTGGCCCCCGCGTTTTCTCGAGAGCCTCTCACGAGGCCCAGGGGGCCCCAAGGGCTAAGAGAGGTAGCCAGGAGCTGGGGGGCACATTGGGCCAGAGGCACCTCAGTGGCAGAAGCTCCGAAGGAAGAGCCGGTGCAGGGGAGAGCCCTGGGGCCCAGGGCCGAGGACGCGCTGGGCCTGTGGCAGGGAGATTCCGGCGGACGGAGAGCGGTTGAACATCAAGCGTGCTGTTGCGGGGGGCTCCCGTCACAGTGCAGCCGGAAGGGTCAAGCCCTCAATGGCGACACGGGGGGGCATGCCTTGTCTGGTCGCCTTGTGACGGCCGTCTCCCGCGAGGGACAGCTTGACGTTATACAGCTGCTCGCGCGCGCCGATGCACGGCTTTCCCCACCAAGAACAAATCTCTCAAAGTTGTCTCCGATTTAGCTCGAACAGAGAGCGAGAGAGAGAAAGAGAAAGAGAGACATGTGTCCAATCCCTCCACCGACCAATCCCTCCACCTCCCTCCATCGCTGCAAGAGGCTCGCCGTGTCGTTTTCTCGTGCGCTCGCGAGGGGGAGCCTCCTTCGCCGCAGCTGGCTGGCGGCCTGGAAGGTTGGTTTGGATTGGATGGGGCGCCGAATCAATCTTGAGCGGGTTTTGGCCAAAGTGGAAGTGCCTTCCCTTTCTGTGAGGCTCGCGACCCCCCCCCTCGCCACAGCAGGCTTGTGGCGCGCGGTCGCCGCGCGAAGACGCCGCGCGGCCCAGAATTTGCAGCACGCCCGATGGCCCTTTTGAGAGCATGTGTGCTCTTGGGCTTACTGGCCAACGCACGAGCAGGAGCCTGGGCTTGCTCCATGCGCCGTCATCGTCAATACCATCATCGTCACAGTCGGCCTCACGCTGCTTCTCGGGCTCACGCGCTCCAGCTCGAGGAATGTCGCGACTCCACGCCGCCACGAGAATTCGAGCAGCCCCTGGGCGGAATCCCACCACCAACTTCCGCTCCCTGGGAGCATCTCCCCCCCCCAACGGCTCGGATGCGACAGCGGTGGTGCCACCGCTGCACGACGCCAAGCGCAAGCGACGCAGCACGGCACGTCACGCCCTCTTCCTCCTCTTCTCCCTCCTCCTTCTCCTTCTCCTCCTTCTCCTCCTCCTCCTCCTCCTCCTCCTCCTCGTTCTGCCCTTCCTCCTCCTCCTCCTCCTCCTCCTCCTCCTCCTCCTCCTCCTCCTCCTCCTCCTCCTCCTTTTCCTCCTCCTCATCCTCCTTCTCCTCCTCCGCCTCCTCCTCCTCCTCCTTCTCCTCCTCCTACTCGGAACCTCCTGTCCCTGCTCCCCTTTTATCCCATACTCGTCATTCTCCATGGGATCGGGCGCGAATGGGGGACGAGGGAGCACAAGGGCGACGAAGGAAGATGAGGACGATGCCGCTGGAAGGACGAGCTACTGGCGCGCGTTTCGGCGCTCAGCGCATGGGCGCTGCCGTTTGTGAGGCCATCGGGTGGCGCGTTCGTCGAGGCTCTTCCTGTTCTCAGTGCGGCACGGAGAGGGATCTGCGAGGCACGGCACAGCACAGGGCGTGCCCGCCGGATTCCCGAGTTGGCGGCGAGGCACGTGACGACTCGGACGAGCGGGGGGCGAAGGTCGTGGACGTTCGGGCGGGCAGGTGGCCTTTTCACTCACAGTGGTGGTGAGTCCGTTGGATACTCGTCGGTGTACATGGACGCTCCAGCATCCCACAGCTCGGCAAGCCAGGTTGTCTATACACCAAGAGCTCCGTGGCCGACCAGACGACTTGGTGTATTACACTTCGGGCCCCTCCGAGAGCGCGCTCCAGGACAGGTCTGGGGGACGACGTTGAGGCCCCAGGCCGGAACCTCGAGCGTCGCGGACAAAACCTCACCACGGGCGTCTTTTGGCGATCTCGGCCTCCGAGTGGCTTTCTCAAGCCCCTGCGCCATCAAACATCGACGCGTGGTGAAGAGGGGATGCACGTCTGGACTAGGCGAGGAGCGAGGAGGGAGCCTGGGGTTCGGAGGACCGGCGTGCGTGGCGAGGCTTTCCCTCCAGAGGCAGTTGCGCGGTCGCAGCAGTGGTGGTGAGTCCGGATACGTTTCGGAGTTGGGGATACACGTTTGGACGAGTTCTTTCGGCGATCGTCAGCAAAGTGTGAATCTGGTACAAGCCCCCCCCCCCGTAACCCGACGCCGGGCACCTGACCTGACGCCGGTCCCGCCGCTGCTCGTGGGCTCCAGTAGCACCCTGGCTGTGGGAACAGCGGTGACGTGCAGCTTTGGTGAGTGCTTGTGGCGTCAAGACTCTCGAAATGAAGCCCCCGTCTCAGCGCCGGCCACACTTCAGCGGTCCGACCGCAGCGCTGGCCCCGTCGGCACCCCGTCGCGACCGGCGAATAGTTCGATCAGCGTCAGGCGGCGAGAATCTTGTTCGGGGAATTGGCAAGCAAAGCAATGACACGGTGCGGGTTAACATGTGGTGGTTGCAGTTACGACGAGTACCGCGCGATGCGCACGCGGGCAGCATAATTATGACAAGCAGGGTTAATGCACGAGCGTTTGGCGATGACCACACGAACTACTGCCAAGCATATGATTCAATTCAGTGTGCGCCGCAGCGAGTCAGCAATGGCTACCAGGACATGGTTGGGCGAGATTTTCTGTAACGCTACACTGCGAAGACGCGGTGGTCCAGTGGTCAGGCATTTTGCGGATCTTCGAAGAGTAGGTACCGCAGACTGTGTTGTAATCGTTGAACTTAAACTATGGTAGCGTCTATCGGTGGTGCCAGGGCATGGTTCTGACAAACGGAACTGATGCCATGCCAGCGAGATCGTTGATGCAATCATTGTCGTCCTCAGCAGCTGGAGGAAAATACGAGAAAGGTCGGACTTTCAGAAGATGCACAGGTGGCAAAGGAACTTGTCTGTGCATTCGAGGCTCTGATTTGTAAGCGTTCGGAGGAGGTGAGATATGTTGGCATTGCACGCCCAGTGATCGCTACTACTCCTTGCACTCACGGACAGGAGAGGAGAAGTCGCTGGAGCTCCTTCTACTAAGGTTGCATCGCATTCCTTCGTGATCGTTTGAAACGCGCGTCTTGGCCTAAGCCAGACCAGATGGACTCCAAGCCAGCCCAGGGCAAGCTCGACATGTCCATGTAGCATTGCGTCACAGTGCAGTCGTATTGGAATTGGGTATTCAGGGAGACCAGTCGTACAGCTGGGAAGATAGATAACTCGTCTGAAAACGCAGAAATTCCCCATCATCCCCCTACCCTATCAATCCACTTGGCGCCACGACGCCCTCAGGGGCCTACGGGGGAAGACGACAGCGCTGATACTGTCATTGACGACGACGACGACGACGACGACGAAGACAGCAACGACGACGAGGACGACGACGACGACTGCGACCATGACCACGACCACGACCACGATCACGACTACGACCACTACCACGACCACGACCACGACCACGACCACCACCACCACCACCACCATCATGACGACGACGACGAGCTCTCCTTGGGGCGCGTTATAAGGCAAGCAGCGGCAACGTGGGCTCGCTCCCAGCGGATGTGTGTCGAAGCATCGAAGTGACGACGCTTCCGACGGCGACGCAGTCGATTGCGGCACCGCGTGTCCCTGGCCCCGAAGGGAAGCTCGGCGCTACGAGGAGCCCCACAGCGGCGGCGAAGATGTCCTCGACGACGACGACGACGACGATTACGACGACGACGTCGACGACGTCCGACGACCGCCAACCGCCGACCGGCGCGGTCGGGAGCACCACGGCGACTGCGACGATGCCTTCGATGACGACGTCCGGCGACGACGTCCCGACCTCTCCTGGGGCGCGGTCTGGCCAGAACTTCGGGCCAGACCCAGCCGTGGCGACGAGGGCGCAGAGCCCGAATGGCACCCGGGCGGCAGCAGGCCCTGAGCAGCACGATGAAAGAACAGAGGGGAGCAGCATATTGGGAGGAAGAGGAGGAGGAGGAGGAGGTTTGCACATGCAGGAAACCATACGGGAGACCACATCCCGTACGCAGAGTCGTTTTGGCTAAAGTTTTGCTTGCAAGCCTCCAGCTGCCTGTCCTCCCGCGCTGACGACTGAGCACCCGCACTCTCTCAGCCATGCAGAGCACAACCGCCTGCACCAGCGGCGGCTCCATCAAGAGCGATGCGTCGACAAGCCTCGAGATGCAGACACTGTCGGTGAGCTCCCTGCCCACCATGCACGACGCGCCGGACGACCTGTACGGGCCGCTCCTTCGCGGGTCGGGGTCGGCCGTCCTCTTCGGGTGGTGGCCCCGCTCCCGCTCCTGGGTTCGGGCGGAGCTCGTTGAGCGGACGACGCGATGCCTCCCCGCGGTGCGGCCAAGGGTGGACTCCGTCGCGCTCCCGCGGCTGCCCGAGGTCGAGGCGCTCTGGGGCTGCTGGAGCGAGGCGCACGGGCTGGTCTCCGAGCAGGCCATCTGGTTCCACCCGAGGCTCGAAGTGCCCAGCACCTCCGCCGACCCTGCCCTGGAAGTCTGCAGGGAGGTCTTGGCGCAGATGGCTGGCTCCTTCAATGTGGTGTTCTACCCGATGTACTGTTTGTCTGCGATCGCGCAGGAATCGACCACACGTAAGAGTGGCCCTCCGCCGGAGCGGCCTTTGGTGCGGGCTCATCGGGACCACGTTGCGCCCCCTCAGTCCGCGCACCAAAGGTCGCTCTTGCCCAGGGTCGCTCTTGCGGGTGGCCGAAGGAAGCCACGAACTTTAACATGCCGATCGTTGGGGACCCCGAGGACCACAGGCTCATGCCCCTGAACGCGGCCAAGGCTTGGCTCCACCCGCATATCGGTGCACGTGACAGCCCTTGCTTGCGCACTGTCCTCTCGGCCCTGGGAGGCCGAATCCGGGGGCCAAGGGGATTTGTGGCCTTCAACGTCGATGAGTTGCGCGAGGCGTTGGCGCAGCTTCGTCGGGAGTGCCCAGCTCGGACGAAATTCGTGCTGAAGCCAGCGGCGGGCTCTGGGGGCTGCGGCGTCGTGCTTGATGCAACGGAGGCCCATGTGGACGCCTTCGTGTTCGGTTCGTCCGGGGGCTCGGCGATCCTTGAGGAGATGGTTATCGGACTGGACACCCCGCAGTCCCCAACACTCTACATGATCGGGGACACACCTTGCGGGCCCCTCGCCGATCAAGTGCTCGCAGACGACTGCTCCACCAATCTGGGGAACAGGTTCCCATCCATGCTGCAGGATGAGGACCTCTTCAGCGCGTGCGTGAAAGCCTCCCAGGAGATCAACAAGACTTGGGGTATGACAAGCAATTGGGGCCTCGACTTTGTCCTCGACAAGGGCGGAGACGCAGTCATCGTGGACATCAACATGGGACGCCCGAATGGGAACTTCGCCGTCCGGCTATGGGCCAGCCTTTCACAGAAACCGCTGACCGTGTTCACAGGATCGTGGACGGTTCCTGTTCACGGACCTTCCATCGAGAGTATCTTCGAGTCTTTGCGTGCGGCGAACATCCTCTGGAATGGCGATGAGGGGGTCATCGTGTACCAATATGTGCCCGGCTGTCCTTCCAGCTACGCCATTGCGAGTGCACGTGGTGCCGATGGTGTTTCTCGGCTTCAAGCGCATCTTTCCAAGACAATGCTTGATGTAAATGGCATTGTGTTCCCGTAGAGATCCAGTCAGCAAGCACATAAGGTCTGCCCTCCCTCCGATGAAAATCAAACTTACAAACAGACGGCATCACTGCCGATTGAGTTTTATCTTGCGGGCGTGATCGAGCTTGCGGGCCTTGCATCTGGACATGGTGCCATAGTGGGGTGTTTCTGTGCATGTATGATTGTAGTGCGCCGCAAGCGCACATGACGCAAAACGTGTTTGTTCACGCCCATGGTTGTACAGTTAAGCAGTGCTTGGAGGCAGTGTGGAGCAAACCATGCGTTCATAATATCCAGTCGCCTTTGCCAGCGTGTTGTATGTCAGTCCGCTCAAGAGCGCGGTTATGACTCCCATGCTGGTTCGGATGGTTGAAGGACTTTATGCCCAACACTCCTGTGATGGGTTCTCGTTTTGAATAGAGCACTGAGGTCGCGTCTCCCCTACTCCTCCCCCTCTTGCCAGCTCCTCCTCCTCCTCCTTCTCTTCCTCCTCCTCCTCCTCCGCCTCCTCCTTCTCCTCCTCCTCCTCCTCATCATCAGCATCAGCATCAGCACCACCATCATCATCATCATCAGCAGCATCATCATCAGCATCAGCATAATCATCAACATTAGCATCACCATCATCATCATCATCATCATCATCATCATCATCATCATCATCATCATCATCCGCATCAGCATCATCATCAGCATCATCAGAATCATCAGCATCATCATCCTCACCATTATCAGCATCAGTATCATCATCATCACCATCATCACCATCATCATCATCAGCATCATCATCGTCGTCATCATCATCATCATCCCCCTCCTCCTTCCCCTCCTGCCTCCTGATTCCTGCCTCCTGGGAGGTCCAGCGGAATGACTCCCTGTGGGGCTGCGAAGCGTGAAGTTGTCGCCACGTTCGTGGGCTCTTCGGAGGTCGCGCGGAGTGGAGTTACACGTGGACCCAGTTGAGACCTCGCGGCTCCCTGGAGGGCTGCCAAGTGCAAAACCATGCTGAGCCATTTTCGTGGGCTCGTGGGAGGTCCAGCAGAGTGGAGTGGTACGGGGACCCAGTTGAGACCTCGCGGCTCCCTGGGGGGCTGCGAAGTGTGAAATCGTCGCCACTTTCGTGGGTTCTTGGGAGGTCCAGCGGAGTGGAGTGGTACGGGGATCCCGTCGAGACTTCGCGGCTCCATGGCCTCCTCGCGGCAGAGAGGTTGGCGCGCGAGCTCGGCTTGGAGCAGCTCCTGCACGACAGACAGAAGCATCTGCCTGCAGTGTCAGGCGAGTTGCGAGTTCGCGATATTTATGGCCAGCGCCTCAGTGGCGTGGGCGGCGACGAGAATTGAAATTGCCGGCGCTTGCTCTAATCAAAAATCGCAGAAGTTCCCATAGCGCGCGGCGCTGTCCCGTCATGCAGCGCCCGGCACTGTCGCACCGCAGCTCGCAGGCAGCCGCTGCGCCACGCACCGCATGGCGTTGCCTTCTGTCCGCGTGGCCTCCCATCCTCAGCTGCACCTGGCCCGCCATGCCACCCTGTGCGCTTGCCTCGCTCAGCGCGACACGCTGTGATGCTTCAGGCTTCAGAGCGCATGGCGATGTTCTGTCCCGCGTATGTAGCGCTCGGCGCTGTTATTGTCACTGAACATGTATGTACCCCATTCACTCTCCCCCGCATGCTTCTGTATCCACTCCTATATTGCCATATTTGCGTGCTGATGTGTTGCACTTCTGGGAGCTCATGCGCACTGCGAGGCCACCAACATGTTTGATTGTAGTGAATGGGTTTACAAATATTCGCCATGTGTTTAGGCATCGTTGGGTGCGTCACTGGGTAATATGGCCAGAAGCCCATGAGGTTGGCGGAATTACCATTTTGGAATTAAAAGGCATGTCGCAGCATGTGCGACGTCATTTCATGTGGCTGTTCGTGCCCAAGCACGTCGCCATCAATACACTTGGGCACGTTAGCAGTTGCGTCCCGAAGCCGGAGTCGATCGAGTCGACTCCCCAGCACAATTGCTGTTCAGCTGTTGGCGCCTGTCAATTGGTCCGTACCTCTTCCTCGTCATTGTCCTCCTTTTCTCCGCGTCATTTCCAAGTTTTCTTCGCCCTGTTCTTCGACACGACGCCCCCCAGCAAACATTTGTTAATTGGAGAGGCCTTACGGCTAGTTCCTCCGGCCCTGAATGGGGGTTAGGCGGCCCTGGGAAGGCCGCGAGGAAGCCGACAAACGCACGAAGGTTGTTCGACGATCGTCCCAGAACGGTTTCAGCAACCCCTCAAGATTGGAGAAGAGTGAGAACAGTTGCCATGTCTTTCAAAGACGCCTACGGCGAGTCACCGCCGCCCACTGCTGTTTGGAAACGCCCATGCGGCCAAAACGTTGGGCCGAAGTCTGGCCAAGCCATTGGAGTATCTGTTTCCCCTGCTGGTGTGGACCCCCCTGGGTGGAACACTTGAGAGAGGAAAAGCACGGAGAAGGGGAGGGAGGAGAAGGAGGATGGAGGCATTTAAGGGCCCTCTTGGGGCCTCCTGGGGCATATTGGGGGGCCTCCTGGGGCCGTTTGGGGGCTTCGGCGGGCTTCTGAGGGCCCTCTTGACTTTCGGAGGCCGTATTGGGGTCCTCTCTGTGGGTCCCTCTTTAGGCAATTTCAGGGCCGCCTTGGAAGCATATCGGGGCCGTCTTGGGGGGCTCTTGGGCCGTTTTGGGGCCAGCTTGCGGGCCTCTACAGAGCCGCTTGGGCCGTCCTGGAGCGATGTGGGGTGCCGTCTCCGAGCGTCGGGAACCCGAAAAGGCGAGAGCGCAAAAGCCATCGAAACATTTCAGGAACATCAGTGATTCTGGCCTCCTGGGGATCTTCTTGGCGCCCCCCTTGGGGCGTCGTGGAGGCCTCTTTGGGCATCTGGAGGGCACCTTGGGCCGGCTTGGGGCCATCTGGGCCGTCTTGGAGGCGTCTTGGGACCGTCTCGGAGACCATTTTGGGCCATTTTGGCCGTCCTGGGGGCGTCTTCAGACCATCTGGGGCCATCTTGGCCGTCGTGGAGGCGATTTGGGCAACGAGAGGCAGTTTGTGACGCGGTTTGCCGGACGGCTGGCGCATTAAGCCGCGCCCACATAGGGAAACCTTACAACAGGACCACAAACAAGCAAAGTCCAGCACGCCGCGCACCCATGCGCCAAGCCACAGGGGGCGGCGGATCGAAGACGCCTACGGCGAGTCACTGCCGCCCACTGCTGTTTGGAAACGCCCATGCGGCCAAAACGTGGGGCCGAAGTCTGGCCAAGCTGGCGTATTATGCGTTCTCCCAGCCGTTGTGGAACCTCTTCGGGGAACACTTGGGAGAGAAAGAGAAAGGAGGAGGAGAGGCATGAGAAGGAGGAGGAGGAGGAAGAAGAAGAGGAGGCCTCTTGAGGTCCTCTTGGGGCCTCCTGGGGGCTCCATGGGAGCTTCTACGGAGCCTCTTGGCGGCCTCCTCGGACCTCTAAGGGACCCCTTGGCCTTCGGGAGGCCGTCTGGTAGCCCTTTTCTGGACAGTCTTGGGTCCCGCTTTGGGCGCGTCAGGGCCGTCTCGGAGGTCTATGAGGGGCCATCTTGTGGCCGTCTTCGGGGTCTCTAGGGAGCCGATGGGGCAGTCGTGGAGCGTCGGGATCCCGAAAATGCGAGAACGCCAAACGCATGTTGAAAAGCCAAAAGAAAATTGGCCAAGCGCGGGCCCCACGCAGTGATTTCTTGCAATCTGTGCGGCGGAAACTAGGTGGTGCAACCAACATGGTGCAATCTAGCTGGTGCCATCTATGTGGCGCAGTTAAGTTATGTTCGCAATGAGTCGTCAACTCCACTGCTCGCGCAATCATCCCACCCACCCACCCGCAACTCGATTTGCAAAACAAATGCTGTGGCGATTGCGATGAGTGTTTGGCGTTCGCTGGTCCATCTCTGCGGCCGCGCCGACCCAAAAACGCGCCCGCAGCGGCCAGCTATTTTGGCGCGACCGACGCGGCCGCGGTGCCGCTGACGGCTGGGCGCATACCAGCGGGCCTTTCAGTGTGAGTGGGCGACTTGGGTGGGCGCGGTATAATGGCAACTTCGACAACGGTAGACACGATGGTAATAGCAGCGATGTTGGTGACGATGATGACAACGACGACGGTGCGGCCAGTGCGGGCGCCGATGCGGACCACGCCGACGACGATGACGGCGTCCTCGCGTCGGTGATAGGTTGCGAAAAGAGTTCGACATGCGCGCGCGGCCGGCGCGCGAGAGTGGCCCGCATGGTGTTGTGTGACACGGATCGCGCCCCGCCCCCCCCCCCGAGCACGCGCGCAAGGGCGCTCGAATGATCCTGGCATGCGGCGCAAGAGGCCCGCTTGGCCGAATGTCATGCAGATTTTGAAAATCTTCATGCACATGTTGAAAGCTTTTGGTTTTCTGAAGAACCCGTAGGAACCCGAGCGCGCGGTTGATTGAAAACGTATGTTGTGGAATCGTGTGGTTTACATGGTATTTGGACATTCGGTTTTGCAATCGCTGCGACACCAGAAAGCTGTTGATGGATTCCGGCATGCGCGCGCGACGACGCGCGCGTGCACTTCGCCACATTGTTTGCAAAGGACTCTCGCGACGGCGCGCGCGCGCAAGGCGTTCGAACGATGTCGACATGCGCGCGCGAAGCCCGTTTGGTAGCACTTTATGAAAATATCGAAAAACTCACGGTGTCCATCAGGATTCGCGATTCGCAAGATCGCGCGCGCAAGTGTATTCCCCAGCCATATTGTGGTGTTGAGTCCTCGTTTTGAAGACACAGCGCCCCGCGTCTCAGTCATTCCTCCTGCTGCCCCCTCCCTCCCCCCATACTCCCCCTCCTCCTCTCCCCCTCCACTTTGGCACGCCCTTCACACGCTTCGTGGTTTCATAGGGAACCCAACCAACAGCCCAGATGCCAGCGCTCGCATGCGCCCACCGCAACCATTTTAGCACACCGCTCACACGCCTTGTGGCCCCATTGGGAGCCCCACCGAAGGCCTTGATGTCAGCGCTCGCATGCGCCCACCGCACCCATTTGGCACACCCCTCACATGTTGCGTGGCCCGACAGCGAACCCCACCGAAGGCCCTGATGTCAGCGCCCGCACTCGCCCACCGCACCCATTGTGGCAGACCCCCAACATACGATTTGTGGCCAACTAGGGAGCCCCAACGAAGGCCCTGATGTCAGCGCTCGCACTCGCCCACCGCGTCCATTGTGGCATACCCCCATCACACGATTTGTGGCCCAATTGGAAGCCCCACCGAAGGCCCTGATGCCAGCGCTCGCATGCGCCCACCGCACCCAGTTTGGCGCATCCCCCATCACACGTTGTTTGGCTCCATAGGGAGTTCCACCACAGGCCCACATGCCAGCGCTCGCATGCGCCCACCGCACCCATGCTGACACGCCCCTCACACGCAGCATGGCCCCATAGGGAGCCCCACCGAAGGCCCTGATTCCAGCGCTCGCATGCGCCCACCGCACCCATTTGGGCGCACCCCATCACACGTCGCGTGGCCCCATAGCGAGCTCCACCACAGGCCCAGATGCCAGCGCTCGCACTCGCCCACCGCATCCATCTTGGCATACCCCCTATCACAAGATGTGTGGTCCAATCGAGAGCCCCACCGAAGGCCCTGATGTCAGCGCTCGCACTCGCCCACCGCATCCATTGTGACATACCCCCGTCGCACGATTTGTTGCCCAATTGGAAGCCCCACCGAAGGCCCTGATGCCAGCGCTCGCATGCGCCCACCGCATCCAGTTTGGCGCATCCCCCTCACACGTTGTGTGGTTCCAAAAGGAGCTCCACCACAGGCCCTGATGCCAGCGCTCGCATGCGCCCACCGCACCCATGATGGCACGCCCATCACACGCTGCGTGGCGCCATAGGAAGCCCCACCGAAGTCCACATGCCAACGCTTGCACTCGGCCACCGCACCCGAACTTCCCTCACGCGTTCCGTGGCCCCACAAGGAGCTCCACCGAAGGCACACACGCCAGCGCTCGCATGCGCCCACCGCGCCAATTTTTGGACACTCCTTAATCGCTTCTTGGCCCCCTACGGAGCCCCGCCGAAGGCCCAGATGCCAGCGCTCGCATGCGCCAACCGTTCCCATTTTGGCGCACCCCTCACGCTTTGTGGCCCCATAGGGAGCTCCACCGAAGGCACACACGCCAGCGCTCGCATTCGCCCACCGCGCCCATGTTGGGACACCCCTCACACGTTTCGTCGCCCCCTAGGGAACTCCACCGAAGGCCCAAATGCCAGCGCTCGCGTTCGCCCACCGCACCCGTTTTGGCACACCCTTCACACGCTTCGTGGCCCTAAAGGGAGCTCCACCGAATGCGGCGAGGACAATGGCAGTACCCACAACTGCATATGATTGGGTCTGTCGCCCAGCTAAGTTTAATATCAGTGTTGGAAAACCCGGTGTTGATTTGTGTTTGGGGAACTCGATTTTGAAATCCGGCGAAATGTAAGTACATGTTTTGAAGGAGTTCGGCACGCGCGCGCGACAACGCACGCGTGTACACTTCGTCCCTCTCTGTCGCAAGGGATGATTGATATCTGACGTTTTGTGATAGACGAGCGCGCGCATTACATACATATCTAAGTATATATATATACACACACACACTGTTCCAGAGGATGGCGGGGGGTCGGATACCGCCCCCCCCTGGGATAGTGTAAATGCATGTTTAGGATGGACGATGGGGCAGAGTCATTTGTGAATTGCAATGCGAGAAGGGAACAATCATCCCGGGGGGAGGCAGAGTCTATTCTTTCTCAGGAAAGAGAATCGATGTGGCGCAAAGCAACGCAGAGCAATGCAAAGCGAGGCACAGCGATGCAAAGCGATGCAAGGCAACGCAAATCAACGCAAAGCAACGCAAAGACATACTGAGCAACGCAAGGCAACGCGGCGCAGTGCGATCGCAGCGCAGCGCCTTGCGCTTGCAACGCCACGGCGGGGGGGGTGCACGGGGCGGCGGCGACGCACGGGAACGGTGCCGCACGGCCCGCAAGACTGGCTTTCCTTCGGGGCGAGGGTGCGGCAGGTTCGCGTCGTGTCGACCGGCGACGACTGCGCAGCTGGCGTTCAACGTTGAACGCTGGCGGCGGCCCAGAATCCGTCGATGATGAATGATCCTGACGTTTCGGGGGCTGCCGATCCTTCAAGGTTGCACGGTCCCCGCGGTGTCGGGAACCAGCGCCGGCGTCGACACGACACGGACCTGCCGTGAAACGGTTTCGGGCGGAGGGGAAAGTGTAGAGCGGGATAGCCAAATGTCTCGTGCGCCTTGTCACCCCCGGCAAATGGGGGTCCAGAGGTTTCCCTTTTGTCGAACCAGTTCCTTGTTCTTCCCTGCTCTTCTCTCTTCCTCTTTCCCATCGTAAGGCTCACCAGCCAACTGTTTCAAAAAGGATCGTGTTTACTTATTAATCGTAGGCGTCGTGCAGCGTGTCAATTCCCATTGTCACACACACACTGCGATGCCATTCAACGAGTTGTTTTCCTCTAAAAGGATGTTCGCGACAAGTGCGACGTCTTCTCACGTGACTGATCGTGCCGAAGCATGTTACCAGCCACACAGGTGTGTACCTTTCGCAGTTTTGGATCGATCGTGTATTTCCTGCCCGCTGTGTTCAAAAAACATATTCCGGTGGTCGGGGGGGATTTCGGCATTCCCGTGTTGTTTGTGAACCAATATACACATTGGGAGGGAGGGGGCGATCAGTCGGTCGGTGGAAGACGACTGCGGTGCAGAATCCAAATCATTTGGGCCTTCCAAATACGGAGGAGGAGCAGGAGGAGGAGGAGCGGGAGGGGAAAGGGGGAAGGGGAGGGGTATATAATGTTTGTATTCAGCTGCCTGCGGCAAATCCCGTCACCGCGCTTGTGCAACAGCGCAGCAGGAAGGAGGCTTAGTGGGGAACAGCGCAATTCCGACGAGTGGTCTGAACTGGGACAGGTCGTGAACTCTACCTTGTCTTCGTCCGCGCGACAGGACGGAGGTCGAGCTCACGCCCCGCGTCAGGTCAGCGAGCGATCTGAATCGGGGAGGGTCGTGATTTCCACGTCGCCTTCGTCTGCGCGCTAGAGAGGAGGAGAAGGAGGAGGAGCAGGAGGAGGAGGAGGAGGACGACGACATGGATCATGGAGAAAATGAAGACGAAGAGGAGAAGGCCTCTATGGTCCTCTTGGTGCCTCCTGGGGGGACACCTGGAAGCCTCCTGAGAGCTTCTTGGGGTCTCTTGGGGGCCTACAGGGGGATCTTGGAGGTGTCTTAGGGGCCTCTTGGGCCGTCTTAGAGGGCTCTAGGCCCCCAAGAGGTCCCCAGCACGCCCCAAGAGGCCCCCAAGAGGACCCCCAAGAGGCCCACAGGAGGCAAAACACATAAGGCTTCCGCATGATGTTGACTGAAAGTGTGGGTTCCCCCCTTGGAGGGGGGTAAAGCACGGCCAAAGACGGCCATGGAGGCCTCCGAGATCGCAAAACGGGCGTCCCAAGAGGCTCCCAAGAGGGCCTCAAGATTGCCCAAGAGGGCCTCAAGAAGGCCCAAGAGAGCCCCAAGACGGCCCCAGGAGAGCGCCGCAGAGCCCCAGGAGTCCCCCAGGAGAGCCCCAAGAGAACCAGAGGAGGCTCCCAAGAGGGCCCCAAGAGGGCACCAAGGGCGCCCCAAGCAAGCCCAAGCCCCTCTCCTGCTATTCCCGAGCTCCATCCTCCTCCCTCCCCTTTTGGCCCTTCCTTCCATCCGTCCTCTCTTCCCCTGCCTTAGGGGCTGCACGAAACACACGCTGCAAGTAAGAAAGATGTATACCCCCTAGGGGGTACGATCGAAGACGAAGAGGGCGGGTATCGCGAGATTGGGATATACGTGTTGAATGGCACGCACGCAGGTAAAAGCGAACAGTCTTAGAATGATCGTTGTTGTTGGTGGTGCTGCTGTTGTTGTTGGTGGCCGTGGTGGTCGTGGTGTTGGTGGTGGTGGTTTTGTTGGTGTTGTTGTTGCAGTTGCTACCGCTGCTGCTGTTGTTGCGCGCGTGTGTTGTGTGTTGGCGCTGTTGTTGTTGCTGTTGTCACTGTTGTTGTTGTTGTTGTTGCTATTGTTGTTGCTGCTGTTGTAGTTGTTGTCGTTGCTGTTGTTGGTGGTGGTGGTAGTGTTGTGGCTGCTGCTGCTGCTGCTGCTGCTGCTGCTGCTGCTGCTGCTGCTGCTGCTGCTGCTGCTGCTGCTGCTGCTGCTGCTGCTGCTGCTGCTGCTGTGTGTGTGTGTCTTTCTCTCTCACCCTCTCTCCCGGTCGGGCCCCGCAGGCCTGGCGCAGCCAGGAGCCCCACAGCCCGCGCGGGCGCGTGCGACGTGCGGCGCGCGGCCGCGCCGTGCCCGGGGGCTCGGCGTCCTGCCTGCGCGCCGCCGCGCGCGGGTCCGGCGCGGCCGCGGGGCCAGATCGTTGGGTGCAGTCGGACCGAGGTATAAGATCGAGGTCGGCTCGGGGAGGGTGTTCGAGCCTCGAACACCCTCCCCGTACCGACTTAGACCTTCGAGGACAGGGGTGTTAGGCGACCCCCCAGTTTATGCAGGGCAGGGCGCGCCCAGAGGTTGATTAAGCTACAAGCGGGAGGCTACCTAGTTCGAGGTTTTCGGGCGCTTTCTGGGGCTCTCAGCGGCTTTCCAGCCCTGGGGCGCTCTCCAGCAGCTGCGCCTCGCCGAGAGCGTTCCGGGGTTGCCAGACTCGTCCCGAGCGGCCGCCTGAGAGCCAAGTTGTGGCCCGCAAACCACCGGGCACGGGGCGGTCGGACCGAGGTGTAGATCGAGGTCGGTTCGGGGAGGGCACACTGGTGTTACTCGTGTTTGTTGGATGTTGTTGTGCACCCTGGGGAGGGTACAGTGGAGACCCATGCCAAGAAACACCCAGCTTGTCTCCAGGGTGCCCTGGGTTTCTTGGGTTTTACTGCTTTTGCTATGGAAAGCGTGACTTTCCCACACCACAAATCAATGGACGTCCTGGGGTCTTAGGAATGGGCTTCTTGCGGAAGGTTTCTTGTGATCGAGCTCCTACTGTACCCTTGGATGTTCTGTGCGTTTGGGCCAAAGGGGGGGTTCGTGTCCTTGAGGGATGCTCTTCTGTCCTAGGTCCGACTCTGCTCTGGGGCGAGGTACCCGGACGGGGCTCGGATTGTACACCCTCGGAATCCCGCCTTTAGAATGCACTAGCGTCGACTAGCGCCTGGTAGTCGATGAGATAGCGCCGATTTAGCGCCGACTGGCGCCGAGTAGCATCGACTAGCGTCGACCAGCGTCGATTCGCAAGAGCCAACGCATGCCACCCGGGATACGGCCGACCTCGGGCGGGGCTAGGGCGAGGATGAATCCGTTCCAGAGGGTTCCAGAACGCTCTCGGAGCGTTCTGGAACGCTCTGAAAAGGCCGAAGCGCCCGAGACAGCCTCCAGAGCCGCCGGATCTCAGAGACTCTCGATTTATCTTCACCCGATGTTATCCTCTTCCTGGCTTCGTCTTAGCACCAGCCGAGGCATGCTCACGCTGTGAAACATCAGGACGGGCGGCTTTCGATATTTCGGCCTCTGGGGGCCCTCGCCGGGCCCTGGGGCCGTCAAAGCACGACTCAGGATTCAAAACCGGCCCTGCGGGAAGGGCCGGGATTTCTGGGAATCCCGCATTGCGAAAAAAGCAGGGCATCCCATGTTTGGGAGATGTTTTCGGTCGCGATCGATCGCGATCGGTCTCGAAGCAGATCGGTAGCGACCGCTCCCGTCGGCCGCGAGCAGAAACAGTGATCTGGGGGGGCCTCGGTCGGAGATCGATCGCTGCGACGAGGAGGGAGAAGGAGGAGGGAGGAGGGAGGAGGAGGAGGAGGAGGAGGAGGAGGAGGAGGAGGAGGAGGAGGAGGAGCCGGCGCGGGATGAAAAAATTGTGTCTGGGATGGGGCCCAGGCCTGTGGGGTGCTCTCTTCGCCGCCTGCGGGCTCCCCCCAACAGGGCCCGCGAGCCCCGAGGCCCCCATAGACTAGCATGAGGGCGGCCTGGGAGGAACGGGTCCCGGTGCGAGACCCCCGGGGTCCAAGGCCCGCCTCGACCGGGGGCGGACCAGAGGTGGGTGATGATCGGGGGCCCCCAAACGGTGCGGTGACCACCCCATGCGGAGACCGCACGGTTTTGGGACTCGAGTCCCTCTCCGAGGGTGTGTCGGGCGACTGGAGCCTCCAGGGTCCCAAAACCGTGCGGTGACGGGTCGTGCGGTGAGGTCTTTTGGGGTTCCGAGGTCACCGCACGGTCTGTCACCACACGGTTTGGGGATCCCCAAGATGACCAATAAGTCGGGCAGATCCCTCTACAGGAGGAAGGTTCGAGAATAGTCAACAGTAGTCTGGTGACGATTGTTCGTGTTCTTTTGATTATGTCTGATTCTGTTTTGGCTACTTAATATCTCTCTTCCAAAGCCCGCCTGTAGGAGGACATGCCCGACCTAAGACAAGGGAGGGGTGGATATCATGGCCTGGGCCATGATATCTCCCCAGGTTTCATGGCTCGCTGTCTTGATTCCATACGCCCCCTGGCCCCACGCCCTGGGCCGCGTACATGCCTCGGGCCATGATTTGCGACCCCCCCTCTTGGACGCCCCCCTCTGGGACGCCCTCGACACCAGGGTCCTCTTCTCGGCATCGCTCGGACGTGTGCGTTTTTCCTCGGCGGGGGCGAGCGAGGAGCATCTTGAAGCATCTTGCATGGAGAAAATCAGCAAATAAAGAAGACAAAGAAAACAAACAAACAAACAAACAAAACAACAAACAAACAAAAACGCACTACACCGAGAAGAGCAACGGGGAACGAATGAACCACCGAGCGATGGCAAGTCTTCCGCCTCGTCTCCACGGCCGGTTCCGCCCCGGCATGTTGGCCGCCACGCGCCCCAGGAGAGGTCCCGGGGGCCCAGCATGGCCAGGGGGGCCCCGACAGGCCTCGTCGCGAAGAGACCGAGACGACCGGTCTCCGAGCTCTCGGCCTCCTGGGAGGCCCGCTGCGGGGCCATGCGCCATCACAAAACAACGCCAGCGCTTCGCCACGAGAAAGGTGTGACGTCGGAGGCGCGGGTCCGCAGTGGGCCGTGGCCGACGGCCGTCCCCGGGCGCTCTGCGATGCCGGCGGCGGCTGCCGCCGCCGATTGGTCGCCACCCTCCCGCGCGCCTCCCTTCTGTCTGTGCACTAAGCTCCCGTCTCTGGCGACGTCGGCCCGCCGGGGCTGCAGCGCGCCCCGCTGCCGAGGAGGAGCGATGCTCAAAGGGGGATTTTTGACGAAAAATACACCAAAATTGTCCAAAAATAATCCAAAAATAGTCTGGGGACTATTTTTAAAGCATTGTTTGACCATTGGGGCTGCAGGCAGGCACCCCGCGAGGTGCGCAGGTCGCGGCCGAGGATCAGCGCAGGTCCGGCCCCGCAGGCTCCAGGGCGCCGGTCCTCTCGATCCCTGGTGTGCGTCGTACCGTGCCGCCCGCGCTCCCACGCCCCGGCGATTCTCGACGGCCGCGCCTCCTCCCTCGAAGAAGAAGAAGAAGATCACCACCCACCAAACCACCCCAACCCAACCCGAAGGCTCAGATTTACCCTCGATTTCCAGTGGGGGGGGGGGTCGGGAAACATCGAAAAAACACACG